CCCCCCCCCCCCCGAGCTGAGCCAGGGGTGCCAGGCCTGCCTGACTGTGCCCTCCTGTAGGCTCTGCCCTCGGCCTCCTCGGGGCCCCCGTGCCCCGCTCTGGCCCCCACCTCACCCCCGGCGCCTGGCTGGCAGCAGCAGACCATCCTGATGCTGAAAGAGCAGAACCGGCTCCTCACGCAGGTGAGGTGCGTTTGGGGGGCCGGGGGGTGGCTGGCCGCCTGGCGGGCCCTGACTGCCCCCCACCTGCCAGGAGGTGACGGACAAGAGCGAGCGGATCACGCAGCTGGAGCAGGAGAAGTCCGCCCTCATCAAGCAGCTGTTCGAGGCGCGCGCCCTCAGCCAGCAGGACGCCGGGCCTCTGGACTCCACCTTCATCTAAGGCCACGGCCACGGGCAGGGACATGGCCTCTTGGCCGGACACTGGCCCTGGGCAGGGCCCCTAGATCCCAGCCCCGCAGGCTGACGACCGCCCGGCTGGCCTGGACACGGCTCTCCCGGCTCCCAGTCTGGGCCCCTAGGTGGGCTGCCCCCAGGGTGCCCTTCCATCCTGGCCTGGGCATGGGGCTGACCCGGGCCAGGGCTCCGTTGTGCGGGCTCAGCCTGAAGCTGCAGCCACCCCGTTCTCGGTTCTCGCGGTCAGTGGTTCCCTCTTCCGGTTTACCAGGTGTCGCCGGGCCGTTTTATCACGTTTTATCAGGTGTCGCCGGCCTGTCCAGTGTTTACAGCTGGCCTGCCTCCCCTCCCCCCTGGCGGCCGCAGTAGAAGGTCCTGGTCACGCCGGGCTGCACTTCTGACAGCAGCCAGCAGAGGGCACCACCTGCGTGCTGGTCATGGATCCTGAAGCCCCCACCGAGGTCTCCCGTGGGGGCTGGGACACCTGAGGGCCAGCAGGTGACCTCTCTCAACCCAGGACACCCCGACGGGGGACCCCTCAGCAGGAACAGATGGGGGGTGGGGGTGGCTCTGACGGGGATGGGGTCTGCCTATGCCTGGTTTCAGGGACCCCGGGATGGATGGAGGTGCCTGGAGTGGGGCTGGGAGGATGGCCTGCTGCCCCTCCACACAGACTCCGGGCCCTAAATCAACGTGGCTTAGCCGCCATCCCTCCTGGCCGAGACCCAGCCCAGGCCACCCACAGAGCAATCTGACCGGGCTCAGGGCCGCGGGGCCCCCAGGCACCCTGGCCAGGGCGACCTGTGGTCACCAGTGGCTCCGGTGTGGCCCTCACCAGGGGTGGGGGAGCCTTGGAATCCCAGATGTGCCGTGAGGGGCCTGGTGGGCCGAGCACCCCCGCCAGGTATGCACCCCACCTGTGGCCTCCTTCCCTCCGCAGCTCGGCCCCAGGGCTGGGCTGGGAGACAGCATGTTGCTCAGAAAGGAGCTCAGGACTCAGAAGGAGGCTGGGACTGGTCCTCCAGGGAGGGGGCGGGGGAGCAGGTCCGAGGGCGGGACAGTCCGGAGGGCACCCAGGCAGACTTGCAGGGCACCTGTGCCAGCCCCGAGGGCCTGCCCACAGGACTCCCCAAGTCTTCCTCTTCTATGGTTCTTGGATCTGCCCCTCCCTCTCATCCCATGACCAGTCCCTCAACCTAGCCCAGGCCCTGAGCCCACCCTCACTGGGGGTCCTTCTGCTCCCCAAATGCAGGCTGGGACACTTCCAGAACTGGAACCCACAGTCCTCTGCTCCGAATCCTCCCGTGACCCCAGCACTTGCAGCCCCAGCCCCAGTGCTGTGCCCTGACCAGGAATTGAACTGGTGACCTCGTGCTTCCTGGGTCCGGGCTCGAGTCCCCACCCAACCCTCTGGTTTCGGGCTGTAGCTGTGCAGCCTGCCTCCCCCCTCTGGGCTTTGCACATGCTGTTCCATCTGGAACGTGCCGCCCCGCCTCCCCTGGCTTGCTCCTCCCCCGCCCTCCAGGATGGGCCAGAACAGCCAGGGATCTGGGGAGACAGGACCTAGGTCTGCCCCGGGGGGTGTCATCGGGAGACCCCCCCACGTGAAGCTGGCCCTTGGGTAGCAGGGAGAACCTGGCTGTGCGAAGGAGAGGGAAGGCGGGCTCCTGGGGCCCTGGTGTTTTGTGCAGGTGGCGTCAGTTGCCCGTGTGGCCCTGTGGCCTCAAGGGCAGGATCTCAGGGGTCCCCGGTTAGCAGGGCCAGGCCGCTGGCAGAGGCAGACATCTGGAGAGGTCCCTCAGGCTTGCACGGTGGTGTTCAGGGCGGGGCAGTCTGGGGCCCTGTGCTCTGGGGGTGCTGAGGGGGGCCCTGGCTTCCCCACTAGATGCCAGAAGCAACCAGAATGTGTGACACTTGGGGGGCGGGGGGGGGCCCCAAACTGCCCCGATGAGAACCTCTGCCCCCAGAAGTGCAAGTGCCTTCAGGCTAAAGACAAGTTTTCCCAAACAAGGAAAGGCCCCGCCACGGCAGCCACAGAAACCGCAGACTGGACCCCCAGGTGTTGGGATTGTCAGGATGTAAAATAACTTATATGTGCAAGGAAATAAAAGGCCCTTGTAAATGTGAACAAGGAGTAGTCTTTGGTTTCCTTCTTTAAAATAGGTTTTTATTGATCTTTCAGAGAGGAAGGAAGAGGGAGAAAAACATCGATGAGAGGAATTCATCCATCAGCTGCCTCCTGCAGGCCCCACAATGGGGGTCGAGTCCGCAACCCCAGCGTGTGCCCTGACCAGGAATGGAACCGGTGACCTCTTGCTTCCTGGGTCCGTGCTCAACCGCTGGGCCACACCGGCCAGGCACTGTGCGAGGTTCTCAGAGGGAAATTTGCAACCTCGAATTCAAACCCCGACTGGGATTTTGCAAGAATGGAAAAATACAGTCTCATTCCATTCCAGCAACAAAGAGAATGAGTCTATCCAACTTGGGTGGGTCCCAAGGCAAGATGAGTTAAATGTTTTAAAATGTGTTGTAATTCACAACATGAACAAAGTAAGGGAGAAAATATGCCTGCAAGGAATTCAGAAGAAAACATGCAACTGTACTCAGTTCATGTTCGTAAGAAACTTGGAAACGCATTTACACGAAAGCCCTCAGCGAAACGGGGTCAGTGGTGGAATGTGGAAGGCATTCTCCCCCGATCAGGAAGACACTAGTGATGCTGTTATGGGCAAATGCTGTCCAGACTTTTACTGGTAAAGTCTTAGAATTTTTAAGAGTTTAATAAGATGCTGATTACAAAATGAGTTCAAAAAAGGCCATTTAATTACTATAACCAGCAAAAAAAAAAAAAAAAACAAACTTAGAAAATGTCATTTAAAACTAAAACTGTATGTTCCAAGGACTAAATCTAAGAAAAAAATGTGCGAGACCTTTAAGGAGAAAATTACTTCAAACTTTTCTGAGAGACCTACAAGAAAACCTATGTCAATAGAAAAATAAACCCTGGTTTTGGACAAAAGACTCCATGTTTAAAAGATGTTCGTTTTCTGCCCTGGCCAGGTGGCTCGGTTGATGCACCATCCCGCACACCAAAAAGGTGTGGGTTCCATTCTCCGTCAGGTCACGTACCTCAGTCGCGAGTTCAATCCCCAGTCGGGGGGCACACGGGAGGCAACCAGTCAATGTTTCTTTCACATCGATGTTTCTCTTTCTCAAAATCGATAAAAACATATCCTCAGTGCGGATTTAAAAAAATGAATGAATGGCCCGACCCTGTTTGGCTCAGTGGATAGAGTGTCGGCCTGCGGACTGAAGGATCCCGGGTTCGATTCCGGTCAAGGGCACATGCCCGGGTTGTGGGCTCGGTCCCCAGTGTGGGATGTGCAGGAGGCAGCCGATCCATGATTCTCTCATCACTGATGTTTGTATCTCTCTCTCCCTCTCCCGCTCTGAAATCAATAAGACTTTTTAAATAAATGAATGAATGCATAAATAATGTTCCCTTCCCCCAATTGGTGTATAGATTCAATGTCATCACAGTTGAACTCCTAACCATTTTTCCAGGCATTTGGGCAAGTTGTTCCAAATGGTCATGGCAGAGCTGAGGGCGCCAGGAAAGAAGTGAGGAGAAGGGACTATTCCCGGGCGAGTGTCCTGGGTGGTGGAGACACCAGCTATGACCTCAGGGCAGACAGGCCATCATGTGACGCCCGGCACGGGGACAAGGGCTGGGACAACCGGTTCTCTAGACGGAAGAAGGAAACGGGAATGTTTCTGCAAAAAGCCCGTCCAGGTGGACGCCAAGGCCCGCGGTCAGCGGTAACCGACCTTCAGACCTCGTAGCCGACCATTCCCAGGAGACCCTGAGGGGCAGGGATGGAGCAGGAAGCAGACACATCTGGACCGACAAGGAGCCGCCACGATTCCCCGGCCAGAGGACTCGTGTCCAGGGCACAGGTGACCCCGGAACAGTGTGGGGTGGGGGCGCTGCACCCCCAGAGCAGTGAAAAAAATCCGTGTGTAACTCGGACTCCACCAACATGTGACCACCGAGATCCGGCTGCTGACCCGAGCCTCCCTGATGACACAGTCGATTAGCGTGTATTTTGTATGTCTATTATATACTATATTCTTCCAAGAAAGTAATCTAAAGAAAAGACAATGTTATTAAGAAAATCACGAGGTCCCGGCCGGCTTGGCTCAGTGGCTGAGCGTCGACCTGTGAACCAGGAGGTCACGGTTTGATTCCCAGTCGGGGCACGTGCCCGGGTCGCAGGCTCGATCTCCCGTGGGGGCGTGCAGGAGGCAGCCGATCCATGGTTCTCTCTCATCATTGATGTGTCTGTCTCTCCCTGTCTGTCTCTCCCTCTCCCTTCCTCTGAAATCAATTCAAAAAACATTTTGTAAGGAAAAAAAATGCCTGCTCCCCCAGGACAGCTGTGGGGGCTCCCCAGTGCCCACAGCACGGGGTCCCTGTGCCCACTGAGCCTGTGGTGCCCAGGCCGACAGCCAGGCTCAGCAAGCGTCTGTCGAATGAGCACATGAGCCTCCCCCTGTGAAGGCGTTTCAGCCACTGGACACTGGTTTCCAACAGGGAGACTGAGGCAGAGGCAGCCAAGACCAGTGAAGGTCCCTGCCCTTCAAGGTCTGTTCCTGTGGAGGGGGCTCTGGGACCCCCTCCGAGCCCATCCTGCCGGGGCCCGGGCCCCACATCTGGACCCCACCCACCGAGGTTCCCCACGGCTGACCCGCCCGGGGGGCTCCTGCCAGGGCTGCCTCCCACACGAACCCCACTGCCCACCCACTTCCAGACCCCAGCTCCCGGAGGACAGAGGACTCTCCTCGCCAAGGAGGGGCCTTCCCAGCGGCTCCTGGGGGAGGACTGGCTCCCCGCCTCCTTCCCAGGCTCCTCTGGGCCCTGGGCCACCAGCTGGGCCCCTCCAGGGCCGGGCCCAGCTCCGTCCTCTCGGGCCGGCTGGGGCTCCACCAAGGACAGCTTGACTCAGGCAGGGCTCGTGGGGCGAGGTGGGGGTTCTGGGGGGCAGCCAAGGGGGGCCAGCCCGCGGCGCCTGCCTTTCATGCCCTTTTATGGGCCGCTGGCTCCTCTGGGCTGCCTTTGTCTCCTCCTTTCAGCCTCTTGTGCAAGCCTCCTCGCTGGGCTTTCTGGGGGAAGAAAAGACGGGGGAGGGGGTGCTGGGGGGAGGGTGCTGGCCCCACCCCGGAGGCTCTGCTGGGGCTCAGCCAGGCCCGGGTGCCCTCCCTTCCCTCAGGGCCCCAAGTGGGAAGAAAAGCTCCTTTGCTGGGCCCGTGACCCCAGACCTTCGGCCGGGGCAGGGATCCCAGCCCAAATGTCCCGCCTTTCCGACCGACTAGGGGGTTGCCCCCTCCGCCCCCATCAAACGCTGCCCTCTGACCCCGCCCTGTCTCCGCACTCCCGGTGGGTGGTCTTGCCACAGGGCTTCCTGCAATTCCCAGTCCCCCAAGTGCATGAAGTGGGGTGGCCCCTGGCCCGGGAAAGGGCATGTGGGGGGTCAGAGCACAGAGGCCGGGAGTTCTGGGGGTGGAGAGACCGAGCTGGTTCCGGGGCTGCTCAGCACTGGTCACCCCGGAGGTTTCTCGGCCTCTGTCCTTCCCTTGGTCCTGGAATCCTGGGACCCAGGTCAGGCTTCACACGCTCGAGGGCAGCTCCCATGGGTCCAGGGGCCAGCTCAGCGTCCCTGGTCCCGGTGCCTGCGGCCAGGTCTCGGTCAGCTCCGAGGCTGCTGGCTGGTTCTAGCCGGAGGGGCGGG